ATCCTTAGCCAGCAGTTTAAGATAAGACTCAATGTCGCCCGCTCTGGCTCCCGGTATACACGTAACTATGGTCCCTGGTTTCGCTAACTTCACGTTCCTCAGAATGGAGCTACCTATCACCAGAGTTGGCTTCTCAGCGGGTGTGTCGCCGAGTGGGGAGAAGCGGTTTGAAACGTGAAGTGGTTGGTGGTTAACCGTGTGCTTCGACTTAGACGTATGCTTACTCCGGACAGTCACCCAGCCTCCCGGCTGCTCGGGGGTTGCCGGGGGACGGCTAGCAGGAGCGAACGCTACGTCTATGTGGCCCGCACCGGCTACGGGGGTGGGCGGGGTAACTACAGCGGCTAACGACTGAGCTTCCATGGTGCGGAGCCGTGATTCTAGCTCACTAAGCCTCGCCTCCAATTTATCAAATATACTACACTTCTTACATGTACCGTTATCGGTAACTGCTCTTCTAACGTTAACGCCGTGCTGACGCAGACTGTCCCCTCACCTGACCTTCTGGAGGAAGTAAAGAGCAGATTTTATCGCCATTCAAGCAGACGGGACCGTACATTATATAATACTGAATTAATTGCCTGTAAGGGTGACAAAAGTACAATTGTAAAGATGTTACTTTTCATGATCAGAATCAATTTATTGCCACATGTTACAGGAATTTCCCTTTGATGTTGGAATACATATTACATATTTAAAGGCAAAGTACAGTTTTAAAGACGAACGATATGTATATATGAAATGTCAGCTATTTACAATCTTAAATAAAAATATGCTTAGGTATTTGCAATAATATATAAACTGATGCACAAAATGCACAGGTATTTAAGATGTAAGCTATTTACAACATGCACAGGTATTTGCATAAGGATGTAAGATGTAAACTATTTACAATATAAACAAACCCATAGTTTGTCCAATGAGATTGTTTGTATATACAAAGTGATGCAACTGCACCATATTAAGATATATACAGGGTGCGTACAGCTCATCCCTCTTTGTCCACAACCAAAGAAGTGTTCGTAGCTGTCGTACACCGCACAGTTTTAACATGAATTTTTGGCAGAGGAATGCCGGCCTTGCAGAGGATCGGATCCTCCACCAGAATCTGGTGCTGGATTCTTTCGTACGCTTAAGAATGGTTCTCAGGACTGCAGCGAGACCCTTGAGGGGAGCGCAGCCACAGCAGTTTAATCAGGTGTACATTAGCCTGTTGTGTTGAGCACTGATGTCTTGTTGAGTCTGTGCGTAGCGCTTAGCCACCTTAAGCCTCTGGATCGCAGCAGCATCAACCAGATGTTCTCTTTGTGCGGCTGTAGAGGCAGATGCCCCAGTGAGTTCTGTACAGCTGGTTGAACTGCTGCGGATGCTTGTCTTGCTCCTCCACAGCATTCCGGGATTCAAGGATTCTGTGGTTCCGTCCTTTGCCACCAAACACTATGACCACTTATACAAGCTGTCATTGGCGGACTATAAGGATGCGCGGATGGCCTCTGATTCATGGAGGGAGATCTCCGCAAATGTCTGTTTTCCGATCGAGGGGAACAAAGTTGTGGAGGAAAATACGAGACAATTGTGTCCGCGATTAAAAGCAGCAGTGGCGATGCATGGGGCAATAAAGTGTATGATAAATAAACAAAAGAAGAAGGTGGTACAGGAGGCTCAGATGATTTTGTTTAAATGTTTTATCCCAATGATGCACTATACAACCTGACAGCATCTAATACAAATAGATTTATGTGAGTTTTAATTATTATTCCTGTTATTTCCTTTCATTTATTGGGATTATTTTCCATCCTAATAGATTCACACCTGGGTTTCCTGACTTTCAA